GTGTTCCGGTCCCTGTCCCGGTCCTTGTCCCGGTCCCTGCCCCGGTCCCTGTCCCCGTCCTTGTCCTGGTCCGTGTTCCTGTCCCCGTCCCGGTCCCTGCCCCGGTCCCCGTCCTTGTCCCGGTCCCTGTCCCTGTCCCGGGCCGCGGTGCCTGCGCTGTTGCTGGCAGTATAACCCGTGTAAGCCTGGCCAAGCGTTTAGGAGTCGCAGCTGTTTCAGTCCAGGCTCTTCGGGCTGTGCAGCCTGGGGAACAGACGCGTGCAGAGCTCCTGGCAGCATTGCAATATCTGAAGGAGCTCCAGGGGAGCCGGGAGGGGCTCTCGGTGAGGAGCTGCAGTGACTGCACAAGGGACAGTGGGTTGAAATTGGATAGATTAGGCTGAACAGGCTAGATATTAGGAAAAAGTGTTTTACTGCGAGGGTGGTGAGACACTGGCACAGGTTGCCCAGGGAGGCTGTGGATGCCCCAACCCTGGCAGTGTTCACAGCCAGGTTGGATGAGCCTTGAGCATCCTGCTCTGGTGGGAGATGTCCCTGCCCATGGCACGGAGGGTTCATCCTGCTCTGTTGGAAGATGTCCCTGCCCATGGCACGGAGGATTAGGACTAGATAATCTGTCAAGTCCATTCCAACCTCTAAAATTCTATGGTTCTTAATACTTACTGCCCCATCCTTTTTTACATACTAATTTCTAAGCAAATTTGCTCATGGTGCCCTCGTTGCCTGTAATTGTGGAATTTGAAAGCATGTGAAACTTCCTGTTTATGTTGGAAGATGTCCCTGCCCATGGCACGGAGGATTAGGACTAGATAATCTGTCAAGTCCATTCCAACCTCTAAAATTCTATGGTTCTTAATACTTACTGCCCCATCCTTTTTTACATACTAATTTCTAAGCAAATTTGCTCATGGTGCCCTCGTTGCCTGTAATTGTGGAATTTGAAAGCATGTGAAACTTCCTGTTTAAATTATATCTGTTTTCATGTATTTTTGTCTTGCTGTATGTGATCATGCGTGAAGACAAGAGCATTGTGCTTTCAGGCTGGAGAGGCAAGAAGAGGTATAGAGTCTTAAAAAGGAGTAACTGGTGATAGGTGCAAATTCTGAATTAAGGAGCATGATACTCAGTGGTGAGACTGTAAGGAACACACTGTTCCTTACAGTCCTCCTTGGCTACAGATTTTCAGGATTGTACAAGGCTCAGCTTATTTCTCTGTATTGCTGTAAACAATTTACTGTCTTCTAAGTGGACATAGGAGTGAATCATCTACTAGAGGACCAGGTGGTATTTAAAACACAGGAGTTACAATAAACTGGTAAAATGTGCATCTTGAACTGGTTTACAAGTGGGTAATAATGGGAGAACGTGGTTGAAGTTTGTCTTCGATGTGTTTGTGTTGTAGGTTTTACTTCATCGGCTTGCGAACTTTCAGCGAGTGTGGAGTTTGCCTCCAAATGAAAATACAGGGACAGAAGTGACTGCTCTTGCTTGGAGACCAGATGGCAAAAGTAATGTCAAGTATACGAGGTGATACAGTGCCATAAACATCCTGTGGGAAATCCTGAATGCTGTGGTGATGATAGCTCTCATCTGTGGAGGAAACTTGCAAGTGAACTGTGTTTGAAGAGAAGGGTGGCTTAGTTTTATGTAGGTTTAGTCAAAGTAATAGAGGGATTAACACTGTTGAATGCAATTGCAAGACAGATTTGCAAGACAGATTTATGTGTATATATATATATGTATATTTATTTAAGTATAGCCAAACTTCAGCCTCCTAAATAAACAGAGGTGTATATATATATATATGTATATTTATTTGGGTATAGCCAAACTTCAGCCTCCCTAATAAGCAGAATATTTTTGTATGCACCACAAAGTTTATTGGGAGAGAAGGAGGCTGTCTGATCAGGATTAACTGAAGAGCTTAACTTATTTAGCATAGGCAAAACTTCAGACCAGAGAAGAAACAAAAAAAATCCTTTTCCTTATCAACTGCCTCTACTTTATCAGAACTGTTGTTAGAAGTGTTAAAAGCACATTCAGTTCAATATGTAGTTAAATAATTGTGAAACCAGGCCTTTGATTTAAATTTATCACCTAAAACTTGCTAGGAGTTCAGACTTTCCTTGAAATAAGTAGATTTCAAATGGCAGTTTGGAAGGACAGTAAACAGACAAAATTCTGCCCAGTAGTTGACTTCAAAGACACATTGTTTTCTAGTTCGGTGCGAAGTAGAGTTTTGCACATTGGTTAATTTTACATTTTACTTGTCTTTCTCTAGTTTTGGCTTTTGGCCTTGCTGATACCAAGAGGATTATTCTGTGTGATGTAGAAAAACCTGAAAGTTTACACTCCTTCTCTGTGGACTTATCTATTACATACATGCATTGGATGGAAGTAACTGAGGAGAGCAGGTGAGTTAGAAAAACCCTAGAAGTAAATTATGGCCTATGTAGTGCCACCTTACTGATAATTTATACCTGATATGTTGCAAACAGTCACATAAAATAATACAATGTTACATAACTGTGGTGCTTTTTTTACCACTCAGCTCAACTATTCCTTTGTTTTTTTTAGAATAGTCACTTTCCATATGCTTATTTTTAGCACTGATATCTTAGTCTTGTGGTTCTTTAGATTATACACAAAAATTTCAGCATGATCTTGACTGCCTCCCTCCTTAGAGCTGCTCAGTCTATGCTGTACAGCCTGTCTCCTGATCCAGTTTGCTCCAACACCAGTCAAGTTATTAAAAACCTAATTATAATACTGTTGTGTTTTCAAGATCAAATTTTGGTTTGGTGCTTACTTCTTTCACAGTGTCTTTGGTGTTGCATCCAACCCCACTGGCAATTCTGTTGTTCAGGAAGTCAGATTGTCCCTAGTGACCATGAGCTCTGTGGGATTAAACAGTTCTCAGCAGCACTTGGGAGCTGGAAGACATTGTGGTCCCTGTTTCTGTGGTCATGCAAAAATCTCCTATACTCACCTTATTGCAGAGTAAGAAAATAATTAAAATTTAAAAGAGGGAGGAGTTGTCAGCCTGACTTGGGCATTTCCCCCACGACCTCCAGAAAATGCCAGGCTTAAAACAGCAAGAAAATAACTGCATCTTAAATTGCTTTAGCATTCTTCTCCTGATGGGGATAGACTTAGCTCCCTGTGAGGAATCTCATCCTTCTGACATGTCTAAGGTGTGATATTAAATATTGCACTTTCATCTTCCTCTCACTGCAGTGTGTCTTTAGCTATTTTGAGGTGTTGGTAGGTTGCACTGCAGGTTTGTACAGAGTTTAAACAGAAAACCTCTGTCAGTAACTGCATTACAGATGACAAAGGATTTGGTAGCCTCCAAGCCAACAGGTACAACCTTTATTCAGTGGAAATAAAAACAGATTTTCAGACTTGTATTAATTTGATCACTTGATATGTTATTAAAGGCCACATAAGGGATTATCCTCTGATATTTGTGATTCTAATATACATGAAGTATTGAGTGTAACTTGGGAGTTAAAGTCTCTTCTCATTTTTAGAGTGTGGGTGGTAAAGACAGTCTTACTTCTTTTTCAGTGTTCTCACCTCCTTTTATAATGCTGAGGATGAATCAAACCTCCTTTTGCCTAAACTGCCAGCACTACCAAAAAAGTAAGCATTTCACTAGTAAGCTTGAGAAGGTACTATTTGTCATTTGTTGTCATTCATCTTTAATGCTCTGAAGGTGTCTGATCATTGTTATTAAGAGTAATTATTTTGTTTCCAGTTACAGTACCACTGCAAAAATTTTCAGGTAAGAAATTGTCATCTCAGATCTTTATTTTTGTTTCAGTCTGTTTTCTGGGATTGAGATGAGGTACATAAGGCCTAATCATATGTTTTGTCTTTTCAGCGAAGAAAAGTCGGATGAGATTATGAAGCTTCTGGGTGATGTCAGGTAAGTTCCATATGTAAGTTGTTGGTGTTGGTTGGGGGTTTTGTGATTTGTTTGTTTGGTCTTCTAAAGGTATCGAATAATGGATTAGTGGGTTTAGTTTTAAGTTATTTATAATTGTTTTTAAGGGTCCTGCAGAAATGATATGGAATGTCTTTTTTATGTACAAAGATTCAAAGAATATATTAAAAAAAGTCTCCCATCAGTTTATACCTTTTCTCCTCAGTTTAGAGGGATTATAGAGGACTTTATCAGCAACTGCTGTTAGTGTCATATCTTCTTTTTCTTAGAAGTTTTCTTGGGGTGTATTGAAGGCTGTTTTATGTCTTACTTACTTGGTTTTGGAGACATTTGTGAATGCTTGTTGTAAATAGGGAATTCCTCTGGGTTTGAGTGTGACAAAATGAAACAAAATTAGGTTTGAAATCAGCTGTATTAGGGTTACTTTGAAATAAACATCTATTAGGAAACACACGAAGAGCAGCTGGAGGAAGTGTAGTTTAGCAGACTGAGATTGGCTTTGTGCAGTTCCTGTGGTGCTTTTTTGAGGAGGACACTTAATGTCTGTACCTTGTGTTTCCACTCACTTTCTTTCACTGTTGCTTACAGTCTCACCACTGAGAATCATCCTCCTTAATTCCAAAGTTGCATCTGTCTATCACCAGTGACTCCTTCTTAAGGCTCTATACCTCTTCTTACCATAGGATTTCCTTGCTTGCTTGAGACAGATGTGTAGGAGCTGTGTGGATTGTGTGCTCCCTTCATCCATTCAGTGAATCAAACCAAGTGTTTTTCAGATACTGTTTTGCTAAGTTTTGTGTTGGCTTTAACAGAAACATTCTGTTTCTGTTCTGTGTGTTTGTTTGGGTGTGCAACAGACATAAGTTGCAGTTAATTTTCTGTGTTTATAAGCTTTTTCCCAAGTGACTATTACAAGCTGGTGTTAGTGAGTGGGGAAAACACAGACCTGTCTGTCCCAGATCCTATTCTTTGAACTGGGTTTCTGTTTCTGATGCTCTTTTTATTCCTGTGGCTGTTATTGCTGCTGCATGCATTCCAAGTGTTTATTGCCTTTGAGGTTTTGCTGAGGAGTGCCCCTGAGTAGAGACTGTGACAAACTCACTCTGCATGTAGTTAGGAGAAACTCAAAGCAGCTTTGTAAGAATGCTTTGCAGCCTGTATTGGTAGGTGGACTGTTGCTAGAAACTTATTTTTTTCTTCTAGAAAGTATGAAGTTTTTTTCTTCTAGAAAGTATGAACCCCTACTAAATTGTAGGGGTTTTTTCCCTATTCCCTCAGTGTAGTAACTGATGCTCTTGCTGCAAATGTAAGAGGCAGGTTTTGTCAAAATCCAAGCTAATTTTTTTTGTTTTTCAATTTCTTGGACTGTACCACGGTATTTCCTTTTGTGCAGTATTTCCTTTTGTGTACCACAGTATTTCCTTTTGTGCAGTGATTCTGTAGAGGGATTATTAATATTAAAGGGGTGGAGTTTATGTATTAAGAACTGTATCTGTATACATTCAAATTAATCTTTCAGTATGCTCATCAGCACATTCTTCTGGTTTTTTTACAGGCTTAATGCTCTTGTCCTTGGTGGCAGCTCAGGATTTATTGAGATTTATGCTTATGGAATGTTCAAGATTGCTACAGTCACTGGGGTATGTTCTGGTCCTTTCCATATTTTTTCTTCATAATATGCCAAACTACAGCTGAATTGAGTAAAAAAATACATAGGTGTGTTTAGAGATAAGTGAAAGTTGTTTGCCAAATTTAGAGTAAAGGAACAGATCTTGTTCTAAGTGAAGCCAAGTTCAGTGATAATCCACAATAAAAAGAGTGGGTTTGTTCCTGAGCAGTGGCTGAAAATTCCACTTTGTTTTTATGTGTAATTGACTGCAATCATATTTGTATGTCAGTGTGTTAGAGCAGTAAATACATCTTAGAGGAAATGCATTGTTTTATTAACTTTTAAACTGGAATCCTTCAGGTGGCAGGTTCCTGTCGTGGGCTGTGCTTGTCTAGTGATTTGAAGTCACTGTCAGTTATTACAGAGATACAAGACTCTTCAGACAGTGAAGCAGAGATAACATATTTTCAGGCAAGTTTAAAATGTTCTTTGAAACTAAAACCACTTTTTATATTACCTTCTGGTAGCTTTTTTGCTTTCTCATTATTTGCAGAAAAAGCATAAACTATTATTTCTAGCCTTTCTGAGGTTCCCCCCAGTTTAGCTTTTGGATTTATGGTTTAATGTGCAGTTTCACTGATGAGACTGGCAGTGATGATCTGAGGCATTCTTTAAAATACTGCTTTTAAAAGAACATTCATTTATTCAATTACAGTTAGTTACTCAGGTGTTCTTCGTTCTGCACACAAAGGCAAAGCAGCAGTGCTGTTGGTTGTCCCATCTTTCCAGAACTGTCCCCTTAAAACTGTTAGAACTCCAAAATGAGGAACTTTATCAGCAGTTTTGAAAGATGTATTTAAAATATTTATTGCCCCTTTGAATTCAATGTATTTCCCTTTCAAAATCAACTTTAAGGAAATGAGAACAGACAGTTTTTCAGTGAGTCCTTCCAGTCTGTCTTTTCATTTCTGTAATCTAGAATTTCTTAAAGGAGAAATCATCTGTTAACTGTTGCTTGTTTCATTTGTTATAGTTGGACACTAGTCTATTATCAAGTTACTTACCTGAGGTAACTCGGATGGCTCGGAAGTTTACTCACATTTCAACTCTGTTACAGGTACAGTTGTGTTACAACATCCTTTTAATATCACAGTTCTTACAGGCTTCAGTAGTCTTAATTCAAGTAAAACAAATGAGGTTTTAGTAGGAAGCTTAAGTTGGTTTTAAGTAAATGTAGAGCTCTAACTTGGAACTTGATAATGAATTTTATAGAAGATCTACAGTATATCTTCCTCTTGTACCGTAACATCCAGTTGTTGAATGTTGTTGAGGGGGAGAAAGGGAATGATGCTAACCTTTCTGCATTACAGTATATAAAGCTGTCACTGACATGCATGTGTGAAGCATGGGAAGAAATACTGATGCAGATGGACTCACGACTAACAAAGTTTGTACAGGTTTGTACATTCTTCCAGTAAAACATTTTTGCAGGATTTATCTTGTTCCTGTTACTGTACTGCTTATCTTGATGCTGTTTAAGCATGATGCCTCCAGGTAACAATCTCTAAGTTCAGAGGCAACCTGGAAGCTAATGTGTCATGTGCTCTGACACTGAAGGTAGCTGAGTACAATCGAGCATGATTGTATTGTGATACTTCTTTATCTGACACTGAAGGTAGCTGAGTACAATTGAGCATGAATGTATTGTGATACTTATTTGTTTTATTTATTCTGGGATATTCAAAAGGGATAGTTTTCAGCTTGCCCAGCTGTTGATCAGTTCCTTTCTATTTAAGACTGTACTTTAGTCATTGATAAATTGATTACTGTAAATGTGGAGTAACAGCACTTACAGCCTAGTGCAATGGAGCACACGTAACATCCACAATTAAGATGCTGTTGGATTTGCTTAAATTTTGTGTTTGTTGACCATGGATAGAAGCTAATTGAATCATGTAATTTTTTATTGTCTTCGAATAGATTCTTGATGATGGTAAACTGCTTAGAAATTTAATTGGGTAATGCAACTAAAAGTAACTTCAAATACTAGTAAATTTTCAGTGATCTGATTTCAGCTTTCAAGGATATCAGTGGCTTCTCTGATATACTTTAGTTGAAGTTTTTGTCATGATTTGGTAGCCTGGATTTAATCTCTTCACCAATCTATTTCAATCATTTTGACTGACAGGAAAAGAATACAACCACTTCTGTTCAGGATGAGTTTATGCAGCTGTTGTTATGGGGCAAAGCAAGGTAGTTCTTGTTGTTTTATCTGAGTATGCATTTGCATTTGATATCAAAACACAAAATTAAATGCATATTTGATTCTCTCCCCACATCCTCCAGTGCAGAACTTCAGGCATTACTAATGAACCAACTGACTGTAAAGGTATGTTAATACTGTTTTAAACATATTAAAACAATCAATATCTTTTCATCATTGTTCTGTTAACGTAGCAGAACATTACTATATGTTTGTATTTCTTTGTTAACAGGGTTTGAAAAAACTTGGTCAGTCCATAGAGTCTTCTTATTCCAGTATACAAAAATTGGTCATAAGTCATTTGCAGAGGTAAGTCAGAGTGTCCAATGAATTATAGATTAAAGGGCATATTGTGTGATTTGCTGAAAGACAGGAGCCTGTACTGGTGGTGCTTTGGATGTAGGTGTGCTAGAACAGGGACTGTGATCATGGCAAAATGTACTATCTTACTTTAGGGTAGTAGAGAACTATTCAAGTATTTTAAACGATTTCCACGATGCATCACTTGCATCTCAGTGCCTGGTGTGTTTTAGAGGATCTCTGCAAAATACTCACACCAGCTTTGTGTGATGGTTAAAATCATTGGGACAATATTTGCTTTTCTCCAAAGTCATACTTTATCTCTTGTATGTCAGAGCACTTTATAAAGCTCTGCACTTTGCACATTAAATGCTAAAAATGTAGCATGCAGTGAATTTCCAAAGGGTGACTAAAAGGTAATACTTCTTTCCTCTCTCTTCCTAGTGGCTCTGAGGCACTGTTATACCACTTGAGTGAATTGAAAGGAATGGCTTTATGGAAGCAAAAATATGAGTCTCTGGGATTAGATGCATCTGGAATTGAAGGTACAGTAATGTGTGTGCTACTTACCTACTCTGATTTCAGTTTTGAAAGCTTAATAATAATGGTCAGCTTTTTTTCACAGAGGCTATTACTGCTGTTGGTTCTTTCATCCTGAAGGCCAATGAGCTGCTTCAGTGAGTATAAAGCATGGAGAGTTAAAAAAATCTCATTGAATTAAGTCTCGTATCAAAGGGGGCACATGTGGCTGGGAATAGAGGAGCAAGGCTCCTCTGTTTGTGGTGAGCTTTAGTCTTGTCTCCCTGCATCTCACAAACTCACACCACAAGAACAGTCTTATTCGAAAGGTTGCATTGGAAATTTTGAAAAAAGACCACCTGATAGTACTTGCAGGCCTTTCTGTAGTTAAGGTGGGACTTGAGCCTGGACCAGCTTGTGACATTGTAATTTCTTTTCTTGTTTCTTGCTCAGAGTTATCGACAGCAGTATGAAGAACTTCAAAGCATTTTTTCGATGGCTGTATGTTGGTAAGCTTGATGACATAGTGATCATCCAGTGTCTGTTTTCTATTGCATTGAAATGTTGGCAAGTAATTAGGCCAGTCTTAGTTATAAACATCTATTTATCTTAGAAAGCTCCTGAGCATCTACAGGGATATAGTTGATGAGGCAAGAGTAATTGTAATATTAAACACAGATCAAAAATGTGATAGTTCTCAATTAAACTTTGTGTGTGTACAATGGATATTGTATATACTTGACCTGTAATAATGCTCCAAACTGTTCTCTGCTTCATGAGCAATTTGCTGGTATTTACTTGGAGAAAATTATTTGATTTACACCAAATTTAAGGCATATTCTAATTCTCCATTCCTGTTAATTGCTGTTTTCTCCTGTGGCAACCTACTTAGCTGTAAGGTTCTGCACAGATGTAAACAGTCTCTGAATATCCAGATGCACTTAGTGGCCACCTTGAGTTGTGTCTGGGTAGCTGCAGAGAAAATGTTAGAAGGAAGTTCAGAACACTATATTTTAGTCTGCTTGTGTTTATAAAGTGGTTAGGAATAGGTTTAGAACTTGTAATTGGTCTTTTTAGAACTACTTAACAAAACCTAAGCAGACACTGTAAAAGCACTTCCTAGCAGGAGTATAATAATTCTGATTTTAAAAACTGCAGAAACCACAGCTGTCAGAGTTCTCCATCATAGCATTGTGCTCACTGTATTTCCTTGTTTTGAAACTAAAGAGAGAACTTTATCCAAGCCCTGCTGAATTAAAATTACTTCTGTGCAGTTCTCATAAAACACAGAATTCTGGGTATGACAGTATTCATGTATGTTACATATATACATTTTGCTGCTCTTAGTGTGTGCATAAATGAGTTCTTATGAACCCTTTGTAATACCTTTATGTCAAGAAAACATTCTTGTACAAGGTAGTATGCATTTGGAAAAGATTAAAGATACAAATTCTCTAAGATTAGTATTGTTAGTTAGTGGGACTGGTGAGGCTCTTCAGTCTCAATTCATAATTCTTCATTCCAGACTCTCTTGCTTCTGACAAATTAGTCTTTCCTATTTTATCAGCAGTGTCTTATTACATAGACATGGAAAATTAATAATATTATGAAAACAATATTAATGCACTAAGGATATAATTTTTCTCTCAGCCATGTTGAGGATGTCAGAAGATCATGTGCTTCCAGAGCTGAACAAGGTAGTAATAACATTTTCTGATAAATGCTGATATACTCCTGAGGATGTCAGAAGATCATGTGCTTCCCGAGCTGAACAAGGTAGTAGTAACATTTTCTGAAAAATGCTGATATACTCTGTATTCAGAAAGCAGAATTACAGTTTGGGTTTGTTCCAAAACTTAAAGGATAGCATCTATGTCATTTTTTTGAGAAAGTTGATGCCTGCAGATCCACACTAATGTGCTGTCTTGCATGCATTACTCTGCTCTCTTTGTTAATGCTACTGGTTTTGGTACACTTTATGTGAATGCAAGGCCTCTGTGTGTAGCAGCTCTTTATATGCCCTAAATGACTTAAGTTAACTCGAGTGGGATTTTAACATCTTCACCAAAGCCCTGATAGAGAGTTGGAATATACCTGTATCAGATTTGCAGCCACCATCACACTGCCCTCGCTTGAGGGCAGAGGTGCCTTACAGAGGGAAATAGATAAGCTGGAGGAATGCATGGCCAGGGAGCTGCTGCAGTTCAGCAAGGAAAAGTGCAAGCTCCTGGGGAGGAGTAACCCCCTGTGACTGCACAGCTGGACCCCAGCTAGCTAGGAACATGTCAGCTCTGCTGAGTTGGACCTGGGAATCAGTGGATGCAGCCTGGGAATGAGCCAGCAGTGTGCCCTGGCAGCAGAGATGGCCAAGGGTAACCAGGGCTGTACTAATGAGAGCATGGTCAGGAGGTCAAGGGAAGTAGTTGCCCTCCTTATTTAGCACTCATCAGATTGCACCTAGCACACTCTCCAGTTTGGGACCCTCCTGTACAAGACACACAGCAATGAACTGGTGTGAGATCAGCAGAGTTGGGGGATGGAGCACTTGTCCTGTGAACACAGGCTGAGGGAGTTGTGCTTGTGCAGCCTACAGAACATGTGTTCTGTGCTCATTGAAATGTATTTCTTACCCTTTGCTTCTCTCACTGATGTTTTTTTTCCCTTTTAGATGACTCAAAAAGATATCACATTTGTTGCTGATTTTCTTACTGAACACTTCAATGAGGTAAGTGATAGAGGTTTTCCAGAACAGCATCTGACTATTTTTGCTTCCAAGAACTAAATCTGAAAAATCTTGTAATAAAATAATCCAATCATCTTTTTATACACTACTTCTCATTAACTTTGTGTTTGCATTATTTTTTTCAGGCACCAGAACTGTACAACCGTAAAGGAAAATACTTCAATGTAGAGAGAGTTGGCCAGGTAAAGAACAGGAATAAATGGGAAAAGAATAAATGAAGAAATCCTTCGATGGAGAAGCCTTTAAAGCTGTGCCCACTTTTCTTCCCTGGCCCTTTTGCTCTGTGTTGCACATACCAGTAATGGTAAAAGAGAGTTATTTTAATTATTTCCCCCTATTGTTAGGAAAAGGTGTGTTTAAAAACAAACCTTATAGTTTCACCTTGCAGATGGTGTATTTTTAGGAAAAGGGTGAAACTTTGCAGCCAGCAATAGTAAAACTGTAAAAGAGAGCTTCAGTAACACTGAAAGGTGCTTGTTGTCTTCATGGCATTAATCATTGGGTTTCAAAACATTTGGTCCTAAACTTGATTTAAAAATCAGTTTCTTATGTGTTATCTTGGACAAAAATCAACTTGATTTAAAAATCAGTTTCTTATGGAAAATACACTGTGTTATCTTGGACAAAAATTGGTTTTATTGTTTCCAGAAGGAGTGGAATATCTGTTTTTAAGCCTATGACATATGAATTAAGAAGATATGTTTGATACACTTACTAGGGGTGATGTTGGAGGTGAATCTTGATATTCCCTGTTCTTAAACTGCAGTCTTAAAAATGTCTCTCTCTTTTTCTAGTACTTGAAAGATGAAGATGATGACCTTGTATCACCACCTAATACAGAGGGAAACCAGTGGTTTAACTTTCTTAAAAATAGTACTCATCTTAAAGGTAACATGCTCTCAAAAAAATAGAAGTGAATCAAAGATATATGCAGAATGTAACAAATGTACAAGAGTAATCAGGTTTTTTATGCTTACAGGTTATTTCTGTAGTGTTAATCATAGGTCTTCATCTGAGTGAAATAAATGGGCCTTGTTATTTTACACAGATTTTATGTAGCTGCTTACCCAGTCAATTACCATTTTCTGGATGTTTAGGAGTTTCTTATCTTTTCTGTACCAGTCTCAGAAGTGTGTTGGCTTGGAAGGAATCCCAGATGATGTCTATTTTAGGATATCTTAATTCCAGTCCAAGAAAATAATAGTTATACTTAGAAGAAGTGGTGAAGTGTCCTAACTTGTTCTCTTTCAGTGGAGTCTGAGTCTATTTTGCTAATTAATGATGAAAAAGAAGTAAGAGACTATAATGAGCTGATAGTGAAAATTATTGTTGCTCAACTGTGGAAGCCATAGGCTGTACAACCTTGACAGCACAAGCTGTTGTGTGATAAGATTTGCCACAGTGGTCTTTTTCTGCCCATTTAATTCAATAAAAAGCAGGGAAGTAGTAGCATTTTTGTTTGGAAAACAGTGCTTAGAAAATGTGTTCTTAGACATACTTTGAAAATATGTTTGGTACTTTATAGTAGCATTTTTGTTTGGAAAACAGTGTTTAGGAAATGTATTTTTAGACATACTCTGAAAATATGTTTGGTACTTTGAATGTGTAGACTCCTTGACTGGTCATTTCTGTTACTACCCAAGATTCATGATGGCTTGTAAGTGGTTTTGTTGGCATCATTTGGCAAGCACTGAGATGTTTATTAGGGTTGTAGGACAAGTAATGCTTCTGGTCTTTGACACTTTCTACCCTTCCTTGGTGTTTGACTTTGCTTCCTTGGTTGATGTAATTGTTCTCATTGTTCCAGCTAAATATTGGAAAAGAAACAGGTTGTATACTTAGGATAATTTATCTCAAAAACTAAATGTATTCCTACAAAGTAGTTCACTTTGTAAGAACTATTCAGTGCTATTGAAATCACATCATAGCTACTGTAAAAAGTATGGAAATAGTTTTGCTTTAAACAACATATTTTATGACAACTGTGTTTCTAGCTCATGGGTAAATGCAATTCCATTGTTTTGCACTTCGAATGGGCTGTGAAGAAAAGCTGAAGGGGCAGGCAGACCTCCATTTCTCACTTGTTTCTCTCTTGTAATCCAATGAGTTACTTGAGTTAGAATTTATAATCTGCAAATAATTTAGGTGGTCATCTAATCCAGCCAAAGCAGAGCTAGTTTTGAAGCTAACTGTGTTCCTCAAGCCTTTGTGCAGTTGAGTCCTGTGTGTCTGCAAAGATAGAGAGACTGCACCTTCTCTGGGCACCTGCTCCAGTGACTAACCATCCTTGTGAAAACTTTTTTCCTTATATCTCATTGGAATTTTCCCTTGCTAGAGCTTTATGACTGTTATGTGTTATATCTCATTGGAATTTTCCCTTGCTGGAGCTTTATGATTGTTATGTCTTCTCCTTTCCCTGTGTGCAGCCTTGAAAATGCTTTTCTTCTACACCTTGTCCTTTAGGCAGCTGAAGAGTCCAGTGGGCTTCCTCCTTGTTAGCAATTTCATCTCTAGACTGAACAAATGCAGCCCCCTCAGCTTCTCCTTGTAAAGCATGTGCTCTAGCCCTGTGACTCTTACTGACTCCTCACTGGGCTCACTTCAATTTGTCACTTTAACAGCAGTGTAGCATGTTTTTATAGAGATACAAGCATTTCTGAGCTGAACTTTATCTGTTTGCAGAAAGCCCACTTCTGTTTCCCTACTACCCTGAGAAATCACTGCACTTTGTCAAAAGGCAGATGGAAGGGGTCATTGATCAGTGTTTACAAAAGCCAGCAGTAAGTCCAATTTTTATAGATGATAACTTTCTTTTAAGGGGAGCAGACAACTGAAGGTAGTAGTCATGCTTAGCAAGGCCTGAAGTCTTTGAGTGCTTGGGTGGTGGCTATAGTCCAACTTCACTGCTGGGATGTTTCAACACTTTGGCTAGGGAGAGCATAATGGGGGATTTTTTTGTTTCACATCTTCTGTTCCTGCAGTGCTGGGGTCTGGTTTTAATGTTAATTATCTTCATGATGAACTGTGTACTAGATAACTGTGTGAGCTGGCAATACTTTAGTGTAATATTATGAGGAAACATGAAACAAGTGTATCAAGTGACAGCAGTGTTTGCATTACAGATGTTTATTCCAGCATAAATATTGGTGGAATTTTTTTTTCAGATGTACTCAAGTGTTTTTGTTTTTCGTTTGGTTGGGTTTTTTATTTTTTGTCTCAAAAATGTGTGTAATTATGAATAACTGCCTGTATTTTATGGCCTATTTTCATTTGTTTGTTAGGATGTAATTGGAAGGTCAGTCCATCAAGCAGTCTGCATACCTCTCTATAAAATCTCTCAAAGGTATTTCTTTACTGAACGAAACTAAAGAAATGTGGAACTAAAACTCAGTTGTATAAGTAGCATTTTATAAACTGTTTCTATTTTTCCTTTTCAGTGAAGAGTCCACACCTCAGTTAATTAAACTGCCATTTTTGTAAGTATGCTGCTATTCCTTGTTCTGTGTTAGTTTACCAGTTACTAAAACTTGATCTAAATTTTCATTTCCTCCCCCCTCATTGCAGGTGGAATGACAAAACATCCAATATACATTATGTTCTCTTCACCATAGTAGAAAATTCTATTTCTAAAATACACATTTTGAGGAGGCATACTGATACTTCCAGGTAAGACAGGGGAAAAGTGATTTGTGAGCTTTGGCACATGTGTACAGACCCATTTACAATTTGAATCTACTTGTAAGAAGAATGAATGAGCAGCATGAACAGTCTTTCTTGGATGCCAGAAGAAAATGAGGAGTACATTAGGAAGTGCAGCAGGAAACTACAGCAGAAGTTTGTGTTGTATTAGAAAATCTAATCATAGAATTTAAGGGTTGGAATGGACCTTACAGATGATCTAGTCCCAACCCCCTGCCATGGGCAGGGACACCTCCCCACTAGGGGTAGGTTGCTCAAGGCCTCATCCAGCCTGGCTTTGAATCTTAACACCTAAGATAGTTCTAGGCTAAGGGGGGAAAAAAAAATCAGACTCCCTTAGTTTTTCTGCTCACAGAATTACTTGGTTGTGCAAACTTCTGAAAAATGACAGAGAATCCTGCTGCCAGTGTTGCTTTGTCTTACAGAAATGCTACTCTTTGATTAACCCCTTGCAGGCTGTAATGTAATACTTCTAGGAAAAGTGGGAGGTGTACTCACAGGTGCCTCAAATAGAATAGATCTCTTTGGGGTGTGGATTTGTGTACCTTCAGGGATTTCTGTGCCCATGATGCAGTTTGTCACTGCCTAGTTGTGCTGATACAACTGAGATGCATTCTGTCAGTGGGATGGCTGAAGTGAGCTGGGTTTAGAAACCAGCAAAAACTCCCCTCTGTAAAATACTGACTTTTATAATCTGTGTCATCTAATTATAATTATAATGAGCTGTGATAGGGGTGGGAATTTTTACAGCAGTTTTACTGCTAGGGGAAACACATGGGGAAACTATTATGTTTCCATTTGAGAGCTGCTGATAACAAAATTACCACCCTGTGGTGTAACTTCTTTCCTATTTCTTCCCTCATTGATACCTAAAACAATATAAACTTTTTTTTTTTCAGTAGATTAACAAGTAACTTAATGAGCCTGAGATTAGGACAGTTGAGCCAGGAGTTCAGCAAAGAACTGTATCCCATAAACCAGACTCAGTCTTCCGTTTGGCTCCATTAGCCATGTCTTGCTGAGGAGCAGAAGAATTTTAAAGGTTCCCATCCATCAGTTACATCATTTTGGGATGTAGCCATATACTGTGCTAAGGTTAGATAGGCTTACACCATCTCATACCGTGGCTGCTATTAGAGGTTTTGGATTCTTAATGAATGGGAAAGAATTAGTCACTGAGATAATTAACACTGTTGTTCTAGGTCTGTCAGTAATGGAATTCTTAAAGTAGAGTTTGGAAACTTCTTGAACAGTATAAATGAGAGCTCAGAGTCCAGGTCAGTATATTTGATTTTTCTTCCAGAATTGCAGGTTGTTGAATTGAAGACCATATTTTCTAGTGTTTATTTTGCATTAAGTTAACTTCTCAGGCATTATAGTTTGGCTTTTATTCTGCAAGTTATTTGTGAAAAAAAAAAATCTAGCTGGAAACAGCTATTGCTTTAATCTGTGATGTTCTTTTAGTTTGGCTTTTATTCTGCAAGTTATTCGTGTGAAAAAAAAATCTAGCTGGAAATAGCTATTGCTTAAATCTGTGATGTTCTTCAGGATAAGACTTGATATGTCTGAAATGAAGCCACCTTAGAAGGCACAGCATACTGAACTCATGTTTTTTGTGTGGATAGGCCAGATGTGATTGCCCTCAGTGCCTTCAATCATATTTTTAAATTGTGTTTGTGTTTACTATTTCTTATAATTCATCTGAAATGTGAAGATCGGTAGTAAGTTTTTGTGAGTTGCTTTTTTCCCCCCCTTCAGAATAATTTTTCCTGCATGGTACAGGAGTCTGCCATGGTTATGGTTGTCTTTGACTGACTGTTATAATTCATCTGAAATGTGAAGATCGCTAGTAAGTTTTTGTGAGTTGCTTTTTTTTCCCCCTTCAGAATAATTGTTCCTGCATGGTACATGAGTCTGCCATGGTTATTGTTGTCTTTGACTGACTCTTTTTGTCATTTGCAGTGAAGCTCACTCACTGTTAACTACTGAATACTTTTTAACATGAATGCTATGCAACTTTAAAATAGTTTGGTTCTGTCTTCCCTTTTATTCCTTGATGCTTTCAAAATTAATTTCCTGCAGATGCTACAGTTGCTTGGATGCACACTTCTATGATGATGAAACTGTGACTGTAGTTCTGAAAGAGAGTGTGGAACAAGAAGGGAAGGAGAGAGTCTTGGCTCAGCTGCCTTTATCTTCAGTATACACAGATGAGGACCAAGATAGTAAATTCATCTGGGATTCTGCAGAAAGGTACTGAAAAGCTTTGAGCAAGTCTGAAAATGCAGAACTGAACAGCAAATTTAGGCAAACATTCTAATCGTGTAGAGTTACTTCTGCTTTGTGTGTGTAGATATTTTAAAGACAGAAACTCTTTCTGTGCCAGGGAGAGTAGGATGGGGAGAGAGAAGCTTCCTAAACAGTGTGTTTTGTGGAGTTTGGGAGATTGATACTACCTGTGTACCAGGGTGTCATAAAATGCAAGGATCAATTGAAGACATTCTGTAGAATCAGAAATCTTCCTTTCTTTAGAAGGTGCTAACTTTGCTGGCCAGAATACTTCAATTTAGGATGTTTTCAGTATATTTGTTCATATACCTGTGCCTTGTATTATGGATATGTGGATATTTCTTCATCTTTCCCCTGCTAGTCACCCTTACAAATATTGTTAGCTTAGCCTTGAAACATCAGAATTGGTACCTCTCTCTGCATTGGCATAGGAGGGGGGAGAGCATCTGGTAGAAGTGAACATACACAAAAAGGCCAATGTATTTCAAGCAGTGAATCCAGTCTTTTAGTTGTTGTGTATCCCTGGCTTCTGCTTTTTTCTCCTTATCCTTTTCTGGTGGATTGCTGAAGATGCAGTTTTACCTCAAAATAGAGTCATACTGAACTGTAAATATTTTTTTAATGCCACAAAGAAATTGTGTATTGAAGAATGAACAAAAAATATTATAAGCAAGCTCAAACTGATCCTGGCTGCTGTAATAGGCAAGGAGTGTCTTCATACAGTCCCTGTAAGTGGGGATGACCTGGAGTGATGCATCTTGGAAAGGTCATGAGGGCCAAACTTCTGTGTTAGCAGAGGCATTGCCTCCTCCAGAACTGTGTTCAGAAGCTCCTTGCAGAGGAGAGGTTTGAGGGCAGGCCACCCTAATTCTCCTGCTGTAGCTGTTTCTTGTGTGAAGATCAGACTCTACAACTCCCTTCCCCACCTGCTGTAATGGTTTTATCTGAGTGGAAACATGCTGTGTCTCCACAGTTGGATCCTCCCCTCTGGTGTATCTGTAGCAGCATTATAATGGTTTCAAATGCTTACCTGCTTCTTGCATATGATATGATAAAACTTAGATGTAAAAAACTGGAGGTTTTTCTTAGTACTGGAATTGTTTCTTATGTACTTGCCTTGTGCTTTTTTCCTTGCAACGAGCAGACTGGATGAGCGGAGTGGTGAGATACCCACACGTACTGTCTTCCTGGAGAATCAGTGGAGAGTGCTGGAGAATATGAAAGCTCAGTATGTTTCTGTAAATGGCATTAGAAAAGTTTCTTGTGTGGTAAGTACAGTATCTCCAAACAAGCCTGTCAGCTATTAAAGAAAATGTGCTATGACTGAAAAGATTGATAACCTTACTTTATTTTTAACAAATAGGGTATTTTCTCATCATCTGCTCCAAGTGTGTCAGGGTACAGTCATACCTGTGTCATAGCACAACATGGGAAAAACTTCAACAGAAGTTCATAGATCTACTTGCTTTACTTTTCAGCCTGTAGAGCAATGCAAAAGTGTTGATTCCCTTGATACTTTCTTTTCAAAGATAAAGGGTATTTCCAAAGCTATTGGCTGCCAACTGGAATGGTATTGGTGCTTTTATTTATTTATCTGTTTATTTATGTGTTAACAGAAACTTCTTAATGTCTCTGTAGCTAAGTTCAAATCTCCGTCACGTGAGGGTGTTTGAGATGGATGTCGAGGATGATGGTGAAGTTGAGGAAGAAGAGGAAGAAGAAACAACTCAGATTGCAGCTGGGGAACCTGAGGAGCTAAATCAGCCTGCAGATAGCCAGGACAATGTGGGTGGTGCATCTGCTGAAGAACTGCCTGATGAAACTGAGGAACCTGAAACAAGTCTGGATCCTTGACACAGGCTTTGGTGGTAGTAAACGGACAAGACCAGACTGTAAATATTTTTTTTAGTGGCACAAAGAAATTGTGTACTGAAGAATGGACAGAAAATGTTAAAAGCAAGTTCAAGCTCATTGTGGCCACTGTAATAGGCAGGGACTTTATTCATGCAGTGCCTGTGACTGGGGTGAACTGGAGTGATACATGTGAAAGGACACCTACTTAGAAAATAATCTGACTTCAGGCTGCTGAGGTGATGGGTCCTGTGCCCCCTCAAGCAGCTGGGTCAAGTCAGAATTCTGTATTGCTTCTCAGCTAAGACTGTGTTCTAGAGTACCTTTATTTGACCCTTTTTTGTCTGGCACATGGTTTGGTCTCAGCTAAATTTCTTTGACAGCTTTACTATTTGCAATTTTTTTTATGGGTGAGGAGAAAAAGAAATACCAACAGACATTATTGTAGTCTGTTCAGTCTTGAATCCTGTTAAAGAAATACCAACAGACATTATTGTAGTTAGTCTGTTCAGTCTTGAATCCTGTTGTAATGATGCAATAAACTTACATATGAAAGCAACGAAACTGGAGACCTAATTCTTTGCTTCTCAGATTCTAATGGGTACAGAAGCTTCCTGCAGGACCAAAATCTAAGACTGCAAATCAGCACAAGACTAGTTAAAACCCCAAATTTACCAATTGTTACTTAAATACATAGTTTTAAAAGCTCTTTTGATAACATCTGTCCTCAGTAACAGCATTTCAGTCTGTGGAGTTCTCTAGTCTTCAAGAGCAGGGCTCATATGTGTGCATGGTTTGTTAATGTTTGCATGTCTCAGTCTGCCTAGTTTCTGTGAGATTGTTCCTGAAAGTCTGTGTTTTCAATCTGAATTTTTTTGAATTAAAAAATTACGACAGAGAGTGTATTTTTTACTCTGATGTGGCATTGCATGTCATGCATAGCCCTCAGCATAATCATGTAGCTTGCAGTTTATATATTCCTGTAGGCATGATGTAGTGCTAAGCAGCAGAAGCTAGAAACAGTGTTTAGAAAGCTAAAATGTTTTCTTCTTCCCTACTAGCTGTCATTGTTAACTGACTTAAAATTTGGCTCTTTGAATGAACAATGCTGCTAAACACATGAACTTTCTTCAGAACAGTTGAGTGTATGTTGTGTTTTTGAAGAGGACAGTCTTATGTGTGTGCTCTATTCTGTACTTTATCAATAAATAAATCTTCTGAAATTGCTATTTAGCACTGCAAAAATCATATTCTGGACTTATCCTCTTGCTTTGAAATGCAGCATTTTAAGTAACTTTTTTCAAGTGGACTTTGGAAGGTTTTGGACTGTTTGGGGGAGACCCTGGTAAAATAAGTTGTTTAGTTTTACAGTCTTATGTGTGTGCTCTATTCTGTACTTTATCAATAAATAAATCTTCTGAAATTGCTATTTAGCACTGCAAAAATCATATTCTGGACTTATCCTCTTGCTTTGAAATGCAGCATTTTAAGTAACTTTTTTCAAGTGGACTTTGGAAGGTTTTGGACTGTTTGGGGGAGACCCTGGTAAAATAAGTTGTTTAGTTTTGAACTTCTTTT